TCAACGTGGTCTTGCGCCACTGCATGCATTATTCGGAAGCCAATGAATCATTTTGCTGGTAGTGGTCCTCCTGCGGGGACGAGGGGACAGGGTTTGAAGGGGGAGGGGGTGAGTCGCTTGCCCCACAGCCCAGCCGAATGAATAGAGTCCAGTTCACAGGCGAGTTCACCAGGCGGGCACGCCGCTCTCCCGCTGTCACCATCGCCATCAATTGCAGGAGTCGAGTCAGTGACCAAGAAACGCGACGATCGCGTTGACGACGACATCTCTCATCTCCCAGCCCAGCGAGGAATGAAAATGGCAATAATAATGACGATTCTCTGATGCCCTCTCTCTCTTTCTGCGTGTTTTGCAGGAGGGCTTCGAGTGCCAGTGCTGTCCGGGCTACCTGGGACCGCACTGCGAGGAGCGGGACGCCTGCCTGCCGTCGCCCTGCCTCAACCAGGGCATCTGCTTGGACGTGAGCCAGGGCCACGAGGACACGCAGTTCTCCTGCCTCTGCCCCTACGGTCAGTATATCATGCAGTTCGCAATTTTTTTTCTCAGCAAACATCACTTTAAGAAGATCGAGAAGGGTCAATGTGACAAATATCAACCTGGTCAGCCGATATATGGACCTCTTTATAGAGATAATCGGGAAATAGTTTGCATTTTAAAAGTTTCTCAAATTTGTGTTTTTCGTAGATCTGATGATTTGGCAGTTATCTGCCCTCCTACGATTTGTCGTTTTGGATTACGCCTGAGGTGTTATGTTTGTTGGGGTGTCAGTCAGCAGGGGCTTGTCGTTTAGCGCGGCACACAGGCGGGGCGCGTCCTGCGGCTGGTTGGGCGAGGTCAGGATACGGTCAGGACCACTGCGAGCCCCGCGCCACCACTGCTTCCCTAGTCCCTTCGGACAAGGCGCGCTCCGACGGTTGCCCCCCCCCCCCCTGCTCCACCACCCCTCACCCACCCAGCCCTCTCACCGGGCTGCCTCGGGTTATCAGTTTGGACCGCTCCCGTGCGCCCGGGGATGGGGGATGGGAGGGGGTAGGGGGTCGAATCCCTACGGTGCAGTTACGCCGAGAGGTCCTCGCAAACTCCGCGCGTGCGCATCGCGTGAGACGTCGATACTAACACCGCCGATACTCTGCAAATCGAACAGGTGGCAGTTTGTTTAATTTCCGTGAAACTGCCAGAAACTAAAATCTCGGGTGGTATCAAAACGAAAAATTTAGCTCTATATGTGTGCAGTTTTGAACGGTAAAACTTCTTAGATTCTTAGCTGGCAGGTACAGTTAAAATTCCATAGTTTCCACTTTCCTTCCCTACACCGCCACGAGTTTCAGATAAGGAAGTGAGTGCCAGAGTGTGACGTCATACTGTCACGCCAAAGAGATACTACACGTGACTTTTGGCACTCCGTCGCTCAGGTCTCGCATTTCGATCCGGTTCCTTATTTATCTCGCTCCCTCTGATACTTTCGCTACGCCACACTGCGACTCTCCGTGTTTGAGTACGCGGCGTTGATTGAGTGGGGGGAGAGGGAGTGGGGGAGGTCCCCACCTCAAGACGGCTAAGTTCACTGGAGCCGGGAGAGGGAAGGGGTGTAGGGAAAGGGGCGAGGGTGGCAGGGTTAGGATCTGCAAACACCTACGTCAAGTCAATTTATAGGTTGAAAAAAAAAAGCCTTTCGTTTTAAATTGTAGATTACAACACTGAATTGATTCAGTGTAAGACACTAGATGTAACCTACTGTAGTTTTAAACCGCCTTTTAGAAGTGCAACGGCAATTTTAACGATAACGGCCGCAGGTCGCAAGGTTGATTTTTTTTTTGCGGTGTAACACGGTGTGAAATTGGAGACGACTTGTGCTTGGCGGCGCGTGTCGCGTGTCGCGTTGTCGTCCGTGGAGAGACTCTCTGGGGCCGGGTGGCTCAAAACTGTTGTTGTTGTCGTCGTCGATGACGACCGCCGCACTGCCGCCGTCACGTTCGGTCGGGAGGCAGCCAGGTTTACTGCGCCATACGCGGCACCGCGCAGCAGAGTTTGGTCGTTGTGGGCGGGCGCGGGACGGGCCGGGGGTGGGCCGGGAC